ATCGGCAAGCTTGAACTCTACCCGCTCTGTAGGGTGTCCAGTCATCTGGTGCCTTGTCAGTGAGTGGCGGAGGTGAGGTTCCTGGTGGAAGGAAGTTGCCTTCCAGATCACAAGGTTGAGCTTTGTAGATTACGAATAAGATAGCATTCGAGAGAAATTGAATGAGAAAACACATGCCGGACAAAAATGGGTGATAGTTTCTGTACAGCCAGCCGCCAGGGCCAAAAAATTCAGCCATTTGTTGCGCAGGATCGTTGTTGTCCATGATTCCATCATCTCCAAAGTCCATAGCGCCAGCATCACCCAAATCCATGGTGTCAGGCAGCCCAGGACTTGGCGAAAAAGGCCTGGATGGCTGACTTGATGTAGGAAACACGGGGTGCTTAGCGTTTGTGTGCTGTGTGTACCCTGACCGATTCTTAAACCAGCGGTTGCACCCTTGTTTGTGCAAGGGATACAAAGACCGATTGGCTTGCGGCACGGGTGACTTGCATCTGAGTCAGTCTGGGACATGAGTTGTTGGTATTTGGAGGGGAGGAGGGTGCTTGTTGGTAGGAGGGCAGAAGCAGGAAGAACGGCGGGTGCTGACTTTGGTACTCGAGTTAATGTTATTTGGAGTCGGGGATGAATTTGGGGAGAGCTCATCGGTAGGATGGCCAGTACCGTACCGGCACTTGAGTTAATGGTATTTGGAGTCGGGGATGAAGTTGGGGAGAGCTCGTCAGGAATGGCCAGTACCGGCACTTGAGTTAATGGTATTTGGAGTCAGGGATAAAGTTGGGGAGAGCTCGTCAGTAGGATGGCCAGTACGTACCGGCACTTGAGTTAATGGTATTTGGAGTCGGGGATGAAGTTGGGGAGAGCTCGTCAGTAGGATGGCCAGTACCGGCACTTGAGTTAATGGTATTTGGAGTCGGGGATAAAGTTGGGGAGAGCTCGTCAGTAGGATGGCCAGTACCGGCACTTGAGTTAATGGTATTTGGAGTCGGGGATAAAGTTTGCTGGTAGGCTAGCCAGTACCTGCTCTGGTGCAGCAGCCACACCCTGTTGTCGTTGTGCTGAAGTATAGGCGGACTTAGAAAATGGCGTGAGGTATTGAGTAGTACTACGTTTTGGAGAGTTGTTTGTTTGGGTTTAACACTTAGAAAATTGCAGTTTGCGACTCTTACCTTTTAGTATCGAGGTCCACGCTCTCTTCTGCTATTTCCTACCCCCCATAACCACTATGGCACCCCCCATTTCCCCTCGCCGTACAGCCCTGCAAATGCGACTCGACACCCTGGACTTGTGCTTCTCGAAGGTCAAAAGAAGCGATGTACCAAAGCCCAGGGTTGCAGAAGACAAAAGGCCGTGCTCTCGAAGCCCAGGCCGCTAAGGAAGCTGCCCTGCAGCGTGGAGTTGATCGAATTGCAGGCATGAGCTGCCATGCAGGTGGAGCAGTGGCTGAAGTGACCAGCAGGGCAGTACCGGTAAAACCCCCGCGCTAGACCAGTGAAGAAGAAGAAAAGCGGCAATATGAAACTAATGAGCTTGCCTTAGAGCACCCCTCCATTCCCCCAGCACAAGCCAAAGTCCAAGGCGCAGGCGGTCAGCACCAAGTTGATAGTGTGGGTGGAGGCAATGGCAAGGTGGTTGAAAATGAGGCGGCTGGGAATGAGGAAGTCAAGATGAGAAGAAGAGAAGAAGAAGAAGGTCAACCCTACAGTATCGCGAGAAGCCATAAGTGCGGCTACAAGGCCGATCATTGATAGCGATCTGGTTCAAGGGAAAGCTGATAGCGACAAGAAAGGAAATCTTAACCCGTCAGTAATCTTCTCACCACCATGCTATTGATGCTTACAGAGTCTACGCTTCGCTTTATGACCCTTACTTGGGGGCTCAGAAGTAAGAAATACAGTCTGACGGGCAAGGTTAATAATTGGCGCACTCACCTCGAACCTGAGCCAAAGGCTGCTGCAAAACCTTTTCCTGTTCACAGCATTCAACACTGAAACTGTTTCTGTTGACTCTCTGGGTATCTCATCAGCAAAATCAAGCCAACTGTTTGCAACCACAGTCTCACTCACGAAGGATCCGCCTCTTTCTTTGACAGACTCATCCGAGACTTCACATGCTCCCGCATTGGATGAAGATGGAGGACGACGACATCAAACATCGACACCGATGACGAAGAAGACAACAACAACGAATTCAAAGAGCATTTTGTGGCCAACACAAAAGGAAAGGCCTGGGAGCAGATGCAGGTAAAGCATTCAACAACATCGATTTGACATGATTCAATGTGCATTGACAATTTTAGAGTGTCGTGGCGATCTCTGGTGAGATCGCTGAAACATTAAGATGACAACAGTTCCGAGATACTGCCGGTGTCGACGCCATTCAATCTATTGCCCTTCACTCAGCAAGCTGAAATAGTGCAATTTGCTCTAGAACAGGCCAGTCAACTCGCACTGGTAGTTCCTCAAAGCGGCCAATCGAGGCAGTCGACTTAATTACCTCGTCTGAAGAGGACTCAAACGTGGCTGGCGAGGATAAATGCAGATGCATCTTTTGATGCAATGGTACTCGATGCCACTCACTTCATGTCTCCTGGGGCTGAGCCAGCACGGGTCACTTCAAAGGTAAATTTTTTTTTCAAGTTTCAATATCTAATTCTATCGATACTGAGGTTCTCGATAGACTAGTGTAATGGTCTGCAAGAATGCGAACCCGCCCAAGAAAATCAAGTTGGAACCAGCTACCAAGAAGATGGATGCTCCGGTATCACCTGAGCCCAGTGTGATGTCCGCTGACATGATGACGAAGCCGAAAAGTGGGAAACCAGTGGCGAAACACTGATCTTCCCCCACTTATGCTGGAGGATGGTATGTGGCGAAGGTCTTTTATCCCCACCGTCTTTCTGTGGGCAGGCGCTCAGCCTAATTTCTGGTCCATTGAGACCGAGAAACTCCTCCCAGCGCTCCAGGCCATCTTCGATGTTGCTTATCCAGGAATGAATCATAAGGTTCAACTGCGCGGCCCTATCATTGGTCTGGTAAGTCTTCTATTTCTTACCTTCAGACTAATATTTTTAACTATGACTCATCTCTGATTAAAGGTGAATCAGCGCATTTGCTCCTGGCACAGTAATTTTGGATCCACGGCCATTGCCCTTGTTGCGGATTTTCTCGCTACCTCAAAAGATAATGAGGACGAGGACGAGGACGAAGACGCTAACTTCAAACAAACGCTGGCAGCTGAACTTCTTCAGGAGTGGGCCTTCCTCTACGAGGACCCAGAGGTTCGCAATCCAGGTCAGATTTACCGGTCTGAATTTATGTTGGAAATGATCGAGGCCACTCATCTCAATGCAATTGCTGGGTTCCTCGACGTGCCTGCGATCAACACGGATGATCTGCAATTGCAGGGTATGCAGGCCGTGATTGCAGCATGTGCTGCCTCAGTAGGTCCTATTAAAATATTCTAACTCTAACTAACCATCATTTTTATAAGCTCGAACGTGCTTTGAACTTTGTTGCAAAGCCCAAGGCTCTCGACAATGACCCAAAGCATAGCCACTGGTAGTGTGAAGGGCAAGTACTAAACCTCGCAGAACGATACCTTCAAAACGCAATAAATCCAGTAACAAGGATGCTGGCATGTCGGCATTTTCAGAGGCAAATTGTGGATCGGCGACGACTGATTATTACCAATCGCTCGCAAGGCGGGGCTGAAGTATACAATAGACACCATCGCCATGGTGCGGCAGCGCCAGGAGGCAATCCAGAAGCTCAAGAATGCTCCTGCCGAGGACCTGAAACCCAAGTGTGGGCGTGCCCTGCTTTGTATGTATTTTTTCCTCGTCATGCGCTCTACAACTACTGACTCATCTGACACCGGCAGAATATTGGCTGTTTGTTCCATCCCATGCTCTCTGTGCTTAGTACCAGTACCGTTTACACACTAATAGATCCCTGCTGCATTTCCCCCCGCCCCCACTCCGATCATTGAAGCCATACTACCCACAAATCCACACATTCAGCGAGCTTCCTGCATTCTTCTGGACTACTTTTTAGTTGCTTTTTCATGCTTTTGGACCCCTTTTTTTGATGTGGTCAACTTTCAATGCTCAGTATCGTGCTTTTTTCAATCCGTCCCACAAAAAATAAGTGTGAAAAAGCTGAGGATAAGTAGAATTTGAGTAGTGAGATCTACTGAAAAAAGTCCGTGCTACTTTTTTGACTTTGTGCGATGGTTGCTCGCTAAGTCGTATGAAAAGTGGTACTTAAGTGGGTAAAAGTGATCTCGTAATTTCCTGATGCAGTAGATGACACAGGCAAAGTGTTGTGCGATTCCGGCGCATTAGTGATCAACCTGTCCCACTCCAGGTCATTCCTCCATTGTTGATCTGTTGTGACTGGAGCTAGATTCAGCAACAACCAACTCCTGCTCGGCATCTTGTGAAAAAAAACCATAATCCTCCGCGATATTCATGGCAACGTCAGCATATACCATCTCTCGTGATGAAAAACTGCCTCAGGTTGCTCGGACAATGTCTTCCTCAGAAATACAGCTTGGAGTGACAGGATCCATATCATGACTTTCTTCTTCAGCTAAGGAGTTTTCATCAAATCGGTGAGGATCCACAGTTTCTTGAGAAGTTGTTTGAGAAACAGACTCGCGTTCTTTAGCCTTGTCAGAACACTCGTGAAAATACTGAATGTTATTGACAATATCACAAGACGTCAAAGAAGCGTTAAGCATGAAGCGTTCGAATGCCGAAGTAAAACCTTCGTCAGTTTTTTTGACGTCTACTATATTTCTCCAAGGCGTAAGGAGGGCGAGCATGGAAGCGCAGTAGAATGGATGACATTCTGGGTCGTCTGCATGTGGAAACCACTGTCCTGGAATATGGGGAATAACATCATGATTATTGCGGCGAACAGCGCACATGTGTCTGGTATGACTGGTCCCTTCTTTGTAAGGCAAATAGAGGTGGCAATCAGTTCTTTTCGGCAGTGTGTCCATTTCTTCCTGGGCGACACGAACATCATACATGCTGAGGAAGTACTCCAGATAATTGAAAGTTTCCAGCTCGATAGGACGATCAATATATTCTCGAATCTGATCTCGCAATCAAATGGAACCTTCATAAATTTCCAGGACGGCGTACTCGGTCTGGGAAAATCAAACATTAACCCATACTACTACCTCAGTCATACTTTCTAAGATTATTTACCTGAGAATGACAATCACTAACATTCGTCGTTATGCCATCAGAAGTATGTTGTAGAACGTGAGTCCTAATATGGATCAAGATCAACTGTTGGATACACAGTTATGGGGCTGGAACACTCACCGGCATTTGTGCAATTGAGGGTACATCTTCTTAAGCAACGATACAACAGCATGCCAATGTATCGTCTCAAAATGATGAGAGATATAACGATCTCCCCGTCCCATTAGATAGGAAATGATTTCTGGAGCACTGAACTCTTGCTCTCGACTTAGTGAATTAGCACAGCGTTGGATAAGACGGCGATTGAGCTGTTGGACGTCAGAGTTGTGCGCCTCATTCTGCTTATGGTAAGCGAGAGTTTTGGCGAGTAAGGCTGAAGCGTTAGAAGAGTGCTGTTGGCGTTTGGCAGCATAAGTGGATATATACCAACTAATATGCTTGGTGTCGCCACCATTGGTGATCAACTTGCAGTTGTGATTGGCTCGAACAGCCAAGAGAAGCCAGGGATTCCAATTGTTCAGGAATGGATAAAGATGGCGAGGTCCCCATTCCCCGTTCCTATCAATCCAGGCTTCTTCTGCAACAGGAAAAGGCGCTCTTCTCTTACACAACAGCTGTCCTCGGCAACTCCTTAAACATCCAGGACCGCACTTGTGTATTTGGACAGCACGAACCAACTTTGTTTCAAGTTGTTGGCAATGAAGCGAGAATAAGGGCCGTCAAGGATCTGGAGGGCGTATGTATGACACAGCTCTCACACGTGGAACAACCGACAAGCTTTGGTCCGTGATATCGTCGTGGTCACCTCGAATGTTCGCAGCAATATATTTCGCAATTTGTTCACGAAATAAGCCAAATTGCAGTAAATCCTTCATTTTTGCTGACGACGGAGCATCTGACAACAAATAGATCAGAAAGTTCTTTCTCATCGATAATTTTAATACCTTGCAACCAGACAATTAAGTGTAAGTGAAGGGTGCCTTGGCCTTGAGCCTCGACTGTGCCGATGTAACCTTCCAAAACACCAAAAATACCTTGTTGGCAAGTGATTTTCCTTTGCTCCTTATCGTGATACCAAAAAGCGCCTCCAAGATAGCGCGAATAATGTAATGGAAGAATTGAGCCGCTGCATAGGGATCTGTAGCAATGTTAAGAGCACGATGACAGGCGTCTGGACCACTGTCGGCATCAAACATATCGAGATTGAGCTCTTCACCGACAAGAACTTGAGCGATTGGATTGTGCGTGTCGCTTGGATTAATTGTAATCCACAACGATGGAGGATTCTTCATGAGCGTCATACCCCATATTAATGCCCGTATTTTCGTTCACGACTCGTCAGTGCCCGTAACCTTGGTGCGTACAGCATTGATATGGTGCTTGAGAGATCGAACTACAGGATTAGAATGAGGTTGTCTATTAGATTCCTCCTTGCTTGCTACCACGAGATCTTCCACGGTCAACTGTCTAAAAGTGTGCTCATTTTCATGAAATGCCTTCTTTTGAACTTGAAGGACAGCAGCCCGACAAACTTGGCATTTTGAATGACACCGAAGACTTGAAACATGAAATATAAGTCCTTCCTAAACCTCTTATCACCATACCTCATCGCCCATTTAGCTTGATCTTCGTAAGAGATAGAGCAGGGACGATTGACTTCAAAACCTCCCATGCCATATGGAAAAAGACAAGGAAAGGCTCCAAGCAGATGGTTAGGATTCTCAGAATCTCCACTGGTACGTTCTCCGGCCGCATCCCGACGTGGATACTTGTTAACAAAACCAGAGCCATACTTGACTGCGTATGCCTCCTCCGTTGACGCAGAGGTGTTAGCAAGTGTGTGAGCTAATACTTCATTGTTAGACAAATCTAACACTTCAGAGTCAAGAACTCCATGCGCCTGGAGGGGAAAGACATTCGAATCCGCTAGTAAACTAGTCAGTCTGCAAATCCTACACAAAATGAGTGCTAACCGGCCGCTGCAGATTCATTATCATCATCAGTCATATCTTGCACACTGATATGATTGTCGAAATATGGATTAACTATAAGGCAATCAACTAAATCTACATAGAATTTGGTTTAAACTGCCAACCTTCAGCATCGTCATCTTCCACAACGCAACCTTCTCATTCTTGTTCCAATAGATCTGTTTCGCCGGAATATTTGATGACCGAGATCAACTGGGAAGGAATTCCATTATCCAGTAATTTGTCCAACATTTCCTTAGAAATGACGATATCACTGTAAAGATGATTGTTCTTCTGCAGAAACTGGAGGGCAGCCCGAATGCGTAACCAATTCACATTGAGCAAAGAAGGTAGACATCAAGCGGGTAAATTGTTCGGGCCGATGATAGAGACGCCAATAGTAGCAGCCAGAATTTCGGGATGATGAGGGAGTAAATTGCCTTCTATCATGGAGCAGATGTCTTTAGTATTTAGCTGATAGGTAGAAACATTGCCCCGGATGCCGCTATTCAGAGCAGAGGTATCCCAGTTCTTTGCACCTTTTTTCTGAGGGTACAACTTGATAACGAAAGCTGCTGGATAATATAAACCAATAAGGATACGTTCTGGGAGGCTAAGGATACTGAGTTCAGCAGGGATTTCGCCAACCCAGAGACCGTTTGCCAAAGCGTGAGAAGGAATTCGATTACTGCGAAGATTGTGCATGCATGATGAACAGACATAACCTTTACACAATCTGTCATGATTGGTGATAGAGGGCGTGTACAACAACATGGAAGAGACTGTTTTTTGGGCAGAATGTCGACATTGCTCTATAGGGACAAGCAATTGTTGACTAGGAAGATCCGTGATGTTGACCAATGACGTTTCGGAGGTGAAAAACTCGCCCGCACAAATGACACAAACTACTTTGTGAGTTTGATCATTTCCTGTACAGTCAATAAAATTGGATAAGCAATTCTGTTTGACCGTTTCATCAACATCACGGAGGAAAGAATCATATGCAGGATCAGGTGATGAGTCATCATCACAAAAACGCACGTGTTTGATTTGGTCGTGTCGTGAGCCTTCATGGGCTTCTTGTTTATGCGCGTAAGCTTCTTCCACGGCGGTTTGAAGAGCAGGTGAACTTTCTATGGCATGGAGGAGATCTACACGCTTGCGCTGCTGCATGCGAGTAAAAGCGCCTTCGCCAGCTCCATTAATAATCTCCTTCATCGTCAAACTTTTGGCTAATCGCATGACGCGTGCGACATTGTCTGATTCGATTGATAAAGCTTTTGCCGACATCACGAACACTGGTATGTTCAATTATTGGATGTGTCACCAGTTGATTACCTGCAAATATACTCACAATCAGATGCACTGCGACAACACTGGGACAGCGCAAGTCTTCCTGCTAACCTTACAAAACTCATGTCAAATTGAAATGACATCATAATGCTCAGGGTCACCCTACCTTTGCACATCACCACTTACACGTTAACAACTAAGCTATAACATGGATCGCGATATTGTTAGGCTCTTAAACCTCTATGGAGACATGGGTGCATTCATTTTCAGTGAGCTTCAATGAACATCATTTGTATTTGTATGTAACAGCCTCCAACAGTGTTTTGTCCTGAAGCCGGCAGACCAGAGATTCGTCTCATCACATCAGCTGAACTAAACCATACAAGACGTGAAGCCGCGGAAACAGAGCGCTGGGGAGGAATGTTCTGTATTGCCAAACACATCAGAGACAGGCCCGTGTTGTTTGCAAGTGAGTTTGCATGAATTTCACTCCTAATCATTTGATAACTTGAGAAAGACACAGCTAATTCAATCGCTAATGACAAGAGCTTGAATATATTCTACAGTGAAAGTGTCAAACTCGCTCAGGATCTCATCACCGAAGCTTTATCCCTACTGGATCGTCCATTTGAATCCGGCGGAGGACAGCTATTTAGGTACCTGATCCGTGCAGCGTTTGTGTAATAAATATTGTATGGACTAAGCAGTTGCCACATGTCAATTACAACTTTCCGAAATATATGAGGCTGCTCGGTGTGTGAGTAGACGTAAGTGATAGCCTACGAAGTGTCACAGACCTGCTGACTAGAAAGTTCACAAATACAATATCCCTTTTCGTTACATCAAGCACGATGTTGCCGTCTGACAACGCCTGTTTGATAATCAATATGCTACCGCTCTGAGTCACACTTGTGCGACTTCCAAACAAGCCGGCCATGCGCTGAAGGGCATGATTTTGAAAGATCCCCGCTCTTGGACTTTCCACGAAGATGGTGTACAGTCCATCCAGCGGCACATTCGAATACGGCATCATAGTAAAAGTTCGTCGGAGATGACGGCGGGTGACAGTACAGTCTTCCATTTCGCATTGCTTGATCCAGTAGTCGACATACAAGTCATCCAGTGTAGGAGGTCCTTTCACACTGTCATTCACTGGAACCGGCACGACAAACGGTCTATAACATGCTGATCCATAGAACAACCCTTGACATATCTGACTGAAATGCTAAGAACAATAATGAGAAGGCTAGGACGTTAAACAACAAGATGCTCACTGGTTTGTGACATTTTATGTCTTTGGGTATGAACTTGACATCTGCTCCTATGTTATCATCAGTATGGGCTTCGGATTAGCTTGGAGACACTCACGATTTGACGCGCCACAGCTCACAACATTCAAGCACATAACTTGAGAATTGAAACGACACGCACTGTTGTCACAGTGCGTGTTCAATCACCATTCGACATCAATGTGGTGGAAAATTTCAGTGACTGAATTGTCGATATTCCAGTCCACAGATAATCGGAAACGCTTATCTTCAATGTGATGCCATAAAATGGGACAACAATTACCGCAAGGATATCCTAGAAAACTTGTATCCTTTTCAATTCGAATATCTTCTTCTCCACAGCCTAATTTGCCATTTGTCAGTACTAAATGGCCAGTATGTGTCTGAATAGCGATCTCCTGACGATGCCATTGCAGATAAAACAATGTAAGTCCTCCCATAGTCATGAATATCATGTCAGCAGTGCATGGAGCACTAAGGATGACGTGGAGGATACTTGCACATCACCTGGGGCAAGCAACAGATATGGTACGATGTCCTAAAGCATATTGCCGGTAATGGCGAATGACTGAGCCGAACGCGGGATGGGGTACACGTGATATGATTGGATAGCCCAATTGTTCAATGATGAATTCATTGATAGGCATAAATCCTGCGTAAGGGACTACAATATTGAGATCCTGTTTTGGGGGAAGAGTACTTCCAATCAACATTGAACGCGCGACAGACCCAGTAATGACGCCGTGTGATATGCGTAGTGCTTGAATGAAAGACATGTATCTGGGTCCTGTGAAAGGAACCAATATGCATATAATACATCGCTCAATCACTTGGAGGGTGATTTGTCGCATCATGCGCGATGTGCGACCGACAGATATCACGTCTACTATGTCCAGTTCCTCGACTATGATTGTAGCAATGTCTTCATGCGTGGGAGCTATCTGCTTGTTAGTCCATATATCATGTACAGATAACACGCTTACACTGCATGGATTGTACACTGTTCAAATAGACTGGACGTGAAGTTGCTCATAGCAGAGAATCACGTGCGAGAACAGTGATTTATGACATAGATGCCCCTAAAACACCTGAAAACACATTTCGACAACACCATGACGGAGCCTAGCGTCTTTGAATTGCTGAAAACTTCGAGCAAAGAGAGTGCCTTTATATTCAGTAGGTATTTCTGCACTTGACAACAAGACAATACATTCACCAATCCATATCAGTGGAGCATCAGTCTCGAGGGAACATTCACGTCCACATTGTGTCAAACGAGCTGATGAATGCTGAATTGGAGGCCAGAGGTGATCAGATGATATACACACAATCACCTTCAATCATAGCAACAAACACCTTGTACAATAATCCTTCAGAATTTGACTGTGCGTGTATTAGATGTTGCATGGAAATTCAGAAGCTAAAATTGAGCCAGATACTGTGAGACGTATTGCAACCGATCCCGAGACCTCTGTGATATACGCAGAATTGCTTGGATTGGCCAAGGACTTAATAAAGGCGGCTGCAACAGTCAGAAAAAGGGATGGATTATGAGGGCCGCAGTAAGGGCAATGAACGACAGAGATAAGTGTTTGAAAGAACAGACAGGCATGTACATGTACGAGTAAAACGGCGTTGAATTTGAGGGTTTGGGTTCAATACATCTCTGCTTGACCAAAGACTGAGTACAACTTGAAGACGCAGTATTGAATGTATTACCGTAGTCCACGATTCCAAAGCCACATTTGTCTGTTTGACCACGTTTGTGTGTTTGGTTTTGTTGAAGATTCGTACTGATACGACGTTTTAATCAGTGTGTCAAACACGATCAAAAGCTGTTACGACCAAACTGAAGACAACATCGAACAAGCTGAAGACCAACCTAATAAATTGCTTCAAAAAAAGCCTTATCGATTGAATGTATTGCGTATGTCTTTTTGGGTTGGTTGAAGCAGCGCGAAAGAGCGAGGAACAATAAGCGTACACATGTACAAATATCCTTGAGAAAATGCAATCGGAGCAAGGTCATCAGTTCGCACGGCGAACCCCTAGTTCAGAATGAAGGCAGCAATTGATTCACCTTGCTGTAGCCGGGCACTCAACATTACGCCGGACCCGTTACTTAAGTAATACCATGACGTGTCCTCGAAGTTTTTGCCACCTTTCTCACTGCATATGTACTCCTAGCTAAGAGCCCTCTATAACTGGGTACATTTATCAAGTGATAACGTCTCGAGCTCCCTAATCCCTCGGCGCTTGATCCGCTCTTCCTTCCAACGCCAACTCGATATGCTCTGAATCGTCTCAGGGCATCACAGAGTATCACGATGAACTAGTACCTCTGCAGGCCATGTCGTGTTTGCCCATATACAACACCAGCTAATCTGATTCGTTATCGACGCAAGTACTTATTTCGACGTATCTTTATCCTTCTAGGCTCTGCTAAATACTTTTTTACCCCTCCCTGTGCAGGCCGAACTTGTGACTTGGGCAAACACTACTAAGGGTTCGTCAGTGACAGTACTTCCAACTTATATTGGGATACGGCCGCGTATATCATCATGCGTTTATCGGAGCTACAGTGTCATCGCCTGCGAGGGTCTTGGGAACCAATGATTGGTTCTAGAGCTCCTTGCAGTTGGCAACGTGGCATCGCTGCTGTCCAAACTCGCACTTTAAACTTTGCTTTTCCTTATGCAGTGCACCTGGTATGTGCTGCTGCTCGTGCTCATTCCTTGGGGCAATGCCTGATATCAGGCGTTCATCAGAGTCGCAGCGTCATCACCGGCTAGTCGAAGTTATCATTGCGGTTGGTGTCGCTGCGTTTCGAGAAGATCACAGAGATGCATTTCACTCCATGTTCGTACCTCGTTAGATGACAAAATGTACGTACTGATCATGTATCCTTGACAGTTCTACGCCGTGTTTTTCACCTCTCCCGGTGCAGTAGACATGCACCGCCCCCGATAAGCGTCACTTGGGACTCGTCGCAGATCTATGCGATCCCCCCATATTGGGCACAACCTGGATAGTAACACCTTTGGACTGCACCCGATATCGGGCGTTCATCGAAGTCGCGGCGCCACCACCTGTAACTATCACTACGCTTCGAGCAGATCACAGAGATACTCTTCACTCTAGGTTCTTGCCTTACCTTGGTTGAGTAACAATACACGCACTAACCGCGTATCCTTCACAGTTCTGCGTTCCTAATCTTTCACCCCTCCTGGCGCAGGAGAAAAACACCATTGGTATGGCCAAAATAAGCATGATCAGTCTACTAAGGACTCGTTGCAGACCTTCGCGGTACTCCCGATATCGGATCCTCCCAATGCTGCTGCCTTTGGCAGTCTGATATCGGGCATTCATCGGAATCTCACTATCACCACCTGCAATAATCCCTAGGAATTCATTAAGGGATCGTCGCTGTTGGTGACGCTGTAGCTCGAGCGGATCGTAGAGACATTCTTCCGAGCCTCACTCTCTCGGTTCGTACCTTTGCTTATTTAAATGATCGTTTGATGTTCTCCCAGAATACTTCAATATTCTTTTCGATAGTGTCTGAAATCGGACATCACCTACCAGGGTCTTCATGCGAAACACAAGGAGATCCTCGCAGCATTTTGAACAGTTTGCAGAGTTGCTCTTCACCGGCACTCTACAGGTCTGTACCCTGGCTTGGTCATTCGGACGCTGTTAAGGACTCCTATGCAGGGCATGGTTGACTTAGTACCAGCATATGATGTGCTGTGACTAGGACTGGCCTATCACAGCTGTCACATCCTGGTACTAAGTACGACACTGAAAACATGTTGTCCCTCCTCTCTTTGTTTTCACTTGCCTGATGAAGCAAGTGTAAGTAGGACTTTAGTTGTTGCATAATTGATACGGTTCGTGCACTTCTTCCTAATTCTGCTCTCAACCACAAGTTGACTTCCATCCACACCAGAAGCACGATGATCTATCATTAACATCGACAGGACCGGCTGACGCCTGCTAACCCTGTCTTCTTTTCTCTTGTCCACGGCTACTCGACTCCAGATTGCTTATTCATCCTTGCAGCGTGATAACCATCAGCGAATACAGCCATTCAGGATTTACGCTCAAGGGTCCAGTAGTCATGCTACAAATCTCGAGGTCTCGTTTTTCTGTGGTCGCCGCTTCGTCGTGACAGAACGCAGCGACGCCATTGAAGAACGTGTTCTCTTTTGCGGATTCAATGACATGCGCGGTGTATTTGAACGTCCCAATACTTCTGAGGCCAAATTGTGCAACCTGTTCTAGTATTGAAGGTGCGCGCACGCAGTCTTCGATATGAGTACAGATCGTGACAGACACGGCATGCTGGAGAAGCTTGCTCAACTTTCACATTCGCATGAAGCCTGGTTAGATTTCAACTACGTCACTGTTCAATAACAATTTCCTTTTTTGTACTTAGGCGACATACCCGCGTACCGTCCCGCCTCCTTCGAATTTCCACATTTTGATCTGCAACACCGAGGTAGGTATCCCCGCTGTACCCGCCGGCGTTCTTTCACGATAATTTACCCTCTAGACCATCGATATAACTCAACAAGACCTCAAATCATGTCCAGTGGAGATCAAGACACCTTCATCACTATTTCAGCTCGCTCGTACGATTCGGGCAGGGACTTCTTAAAAGCCCTACTGGAAGGTGATATCTACGCACCTTACGGGAGAATCGAAAGTCAGCCACTAGACCTTCCCGACGACTGGAAGCTTCCATCCCAGCCCTTCACTCGGTTTTGTGTCGCCTCAATTTTGCTTAATCATTATCGGAAGGCCTGATCTCGAGGAATTGTGGCGGGATGTGAGCCAAAGGAATGGCGTGAATATGCGTGTCGTACGCTTAAAGAATCCGGGTGCTCATACATTCACTGTGAGTTCATTGTTAATCCCTATTCTGTCTAGCAAGACTGACGCCTCCACTTTTTACGTAGATGCTCCTCATCCTCCTCGTGTGTGGAGCATGCATGTTGATACTAGACCATAGTTTCGAAATCGCGGACCGTTCATCCAAAGAAAACTACGAAGCGCTGTCGAACCTATCGGCATCTTTGCTGGCTGAATATGCAGTGTGTCAATCGTTATCTCGCCTGAGGAGCGAGTGGATGGCATTTCAACAGTTTGCGACATTCCGGGTAGGGAATTTGGTAAAGTGTAGTGAGCTTTCGTTGACCCCAGAACTAGAAACCGGGCATGGTGGAGGTCTTGGTTTGTCTCGCTTTCACTCGCATAGCAGAGGCTTCACTCGCTTTATCTTTGGCGTCTTTGGCGACGTGTACGCGTTCCTCTTCTGTTTACACAAAGGTTACGCACTGGCCTATTGGATGTCTTATCCAGGTGGTTTTGTATTTTTTATAGGGGCGGACTACTGGATGTCTTTTGTGGGGTCTTGCACATTTGGCCTTCTCTTGGATGCTGTCTTGAAGAGGAAAGTGCAGTCAGTGACCTCGCGGGTGTATTGACTTTATTTCTGTGGTTTGGCGTCGCCTTGGGTTACTTACAAACAAATTGTGACAGCCATTAGTCTGGTGTCTTTTGGTGGCGCCGCAGGTGTAGATTTCAAATTTCGCCATGTAAACTGTTGCATCACTATATACGTATCGTTTTCTGCGTGCATTAACACAGGGCTTCTTCGAGAAGTGAAAGCACTTAATCGCGCGCATTAAAAATACAGAAGGATTCCACACAGCGATGTTTCCTCCCGCTGAAGTAATGATTATCCGTTTATCTGAGAGGACTCTTGATTTGATCGACTCAACACTCATGAGCATAGTGAATGGAAAGGTAGGGGAAGGGGGGGCAGGAAGTCCACATCCACACAAATCGCAGCGTGGATTCACGAACATGATGTCCCTTCTATGTTATTCTGATCAATGGAGTAACGGTAGTGGCGAGCCACATACACTACGACTTTGAAGGTGCAAGAACGAGCGTCGAGAACTTGAAATGCCAAGCGATATTGTTATATGCATGTAAGTAGTGTCAAAATATAAATGATGCGTTAGAGATCCCCAATCTTCAATGACAATTCAGCTACATTATTTCTAGCGTCCTGACGCGAAATACCAAGGTCCGCTTCACCGACGAGAAAAGTGGCTCGTAATTAAGTAGAGCGTATACAAGAGATGTCAAGAACTGACCAGGATTGACTTCAACATAGTCACGGTGCTCAGAAGTCCAGAAGTTCAGAAGTTCAGAATGAAGGCAGCAAAACAGTACCCGGGCACTCAATATTATGCCGGACCCGTGACGTGTCCTAAGTCCTTCGAGCGAATTTTTTACCACCTTTCTCACTATATACATAATCATATGCACTCCTAGCTAAGAGCCCTCTATAACTAGGTACATTTATCAAGTGATAACATCTCGAGCTTCCTACTAATCCCTTGGTGCTTGATCTGCTCTTCCTCCCAACGCCAACTCGATATGTTCGTTTCAGGGCATTACAAAGTATCATGATGAACTAGTAGTACCTCTGAAGGCCATGTCGCATTTGCCCATATACAACACCGGCTGATCTGATTCGTTATCCACGCAAGTATTTATTTCGACGTATCTTTATCCTTCTCGGCTCTGCTCAATACTTTTTTACCCCTCCCAGTGCAGGACACACTTGTGACTTGGGCAAACACCACTGGCAAGGGTACGTCGTCAGTACTTCCAACTTATATTGGGATATGGCCGCGTATATTATCACGCGTTTATCGGAGCTACGGCGTCATCGCCTGCACGGACCTTTGAAATAAATGTTTGGTTCTAGAGCTCCTGCAGTTGGCAAGGTGCCGTCGCTGCTGTCCAAACTTGCACTTTAAACATTTCCTCTTCCTTATGAGGTGCATCTGGTATCAGGCGTTCATCAGAGTCGCAGCGTCATCACGAGATACTCTTCCAAGCCTCACTCTCTCGGTTCGTACCTTTGCTTATTTAAATGATCGTTTGAGCACCGGTGATGTTCCTCCAGAATACTTCAATATTCCTTTCAATAGTGTCTGAAATCGGAGTCGGAGCGTCATCACCCACCGGGGTCTTTGTGCGAAACACAAAAAATACTTGCAGGGGCGGTGCTGCATTTTGAACAGCTTGCAGAGTTGCTTTTCACCAGCGATCTACAGGTTTGTACCCTGGCTCGGTCGTTCGGACGCTGTTAAGGAACCCTATGCAGGACATGGTTAACTTAGTACCTGGATATGAGGAGTTGTGATAAGGCACAGTGCCTGCGACAGTTCTCCATATACTAGTACTAAGCACAACCCTAAAAACATGTTGTCCCTTCTCTCTTTGTTTTCACTTGCCTGATGAAGCAAGGGTAAGTAGGACCTTATTTGTTGCATAATTGATACGGTTCGTACGCTCCTTCCTAGTTCTACTCTGAACCACAAGTTGACTTCCACCCACAGCAGAACCACGATGATCTACCATTAAATGACAGGACCGGGTGACGTCTGCTAACGTTCGTCTTCTTTTCTCTTGTCCACCGCTACTCGACTCCAGATTGCTCATTCATCCCTGCAGCGTGATACCCATCAGCGAATACAGCCAGTTAGAATTCACGCTCAAGGATCCAGCAGTCATCTTGAGGCCTCGTTTTTCTGTGGTCGCCGCTTCGTCGTGACAGAACGCAGCGACGCCATTGAAGAACGTGTTCTCTTTTGCAGATACAATGCCATGCGCGCTGTATTCAGACGTCCCAACACTTCTGAGGTCCAACTTGTGCAAACTCCTAGTATTGGAGGTGAAGGTCGTCACGCACGCAGTCTTCGATATGTGTACAGGTCTTGTCAGACACGGCAGCATGTGCTGGAGAAGCTTGGTTAGATTTCGACTGCGTCACTCTTCGACGGTAACTTCCTTTTTTGGACTTGGGTGATATACTCGCGTACCGTCCCTCCTTCGAATTTCCACACTTTGATCTGCAACACCAAGGTAGGTATCCTCGCTGTGCCCGCCGACATCCTTTCACCCTCTAGACCGTCTATATAGCTCAACAAGACCTCAAATCATGTCCAATAGAGATCAAGATGCCTTCATCACCATTTCAGCTTGCTCGTGCAATTCGGGCGGGGACATCTCAGAAGACCAAATGGAAGCTGGTGCCTGCGCACCTCACGGAAAGATCCAAAGTCAGCCACTAGACCTTCCTGACGACTGGAAACTGCCATCCCAGCCCTTCGCTCGGTTTTGTTCCACTCAACTTTACTTAATCACTCTCGGAAAGCCTGATCTCGAGGAATTGTGGCGGGATGTGAGCCAACGGAATGGCGTGAATAAGCGTGTCATATGTTCAGGTCCTGATTTATTCATTGTGAGTTCATTGTTAATCCCCATTCTGTCTAGCAAGACTGACGCCTCCACTTTTTACGTAGATGTTCCTCATCGCCCTCGTGGGTGGAGTATGCATGTCGATACTGCGACGTAGTATCGACATCGCGGACCATTCATCCAGAGAAAACTACGAAGCCCTGATGAATCTCTCGGCATCTTTCCTCCTTGTTTATGTGCTGTGCCAATGGTTATCCCGCATGTACGGCTATTGTATAGCATTTCGACAGTCTGCGATATTCCGGGTAGGGAATTTAGTAAACCGTAGTGAGTTTTCGTTGACCCCAGAACTAGAACCCGGGCAAGATGAAGGTCTTGATTTGTCTCGCTCTCTCTCGCACGGCAGAGTTTTCACTCGCTTTATCTTTGGGATTTCTGGCGAAGGGTACGCGTTCCTCTTCGGTTTACACGAGGGTTACGCACTGACCTATTGGATATCTTATCCAGGTGGTTTTATATTGTTTACAGGGGTGGACTACTGGATGTCTTTTGCGGAGGCTTGTACATTCGGCCTTCTTTTGGACGCTGTCTTGAAGAGGAATGTGCAGACAGTGATCTGGCGCGGTGTATTGGCTTTCTTTCTGTGGTTTGGCGTCGCCTTGGGTTACTTACAAACAAATTGTGAAAGCCATTAGTCTGTCTTTTGGTGGCGCCGCAAGTGTATATTTCCATTTTCCCCATGTAACTGTCGCATCACTATATATGTATCCTTTCTGCGTGCATTAACACAGGGCTTCTTCGCATCTGAGACATCTAAACGCAGTGAAGCCACCTTCCTACTTGAGCGTAATCAAATATTTCCCAGTGGAATGTAAACCTGCCCCAATACAGAGCCACTCGTGTGATATCGAGAAGTGGAAGCACTTCATCGTGCGCATTAAAAATACAAAAGGATTCCATATAGCGATGTTTCCTGTCACTGAAGTAATGACTATCCGTTATCTGACAGGGCTCTTGATTTCGTCGATTCAACACTCATGAGGTTAGTGGATGGAAAGGTAGGGAAGGGGGGCAGGAAGTCCACACAAATTACAGCGTGGACTCACATACTGTAGAGAACATGAAGTTCCTACACTACGACTTCGAAGGTGCAAGAACAAGCGTCGAGAACTTGAAATGCCAAGCGATATTGTTCTATGCATGTAAGTAGTGTCGAAATATAGATGACGCGTGAGAGGTCCCCAATCTTCGATAACAATGCAGCTACATTATTTCTAGCCTCCTGACGCCCATCATGTCATGAACAGCAGTCATGAACCATGGTATAGACCAGCGCGAACATGGTCTTATCGTCTGCAAAGACTCGGACAGGCAGCCCGAGGTCATGACGAGAGTCCATGGGCGGACGAGTAGCAATGTCTGCTCTATGGGCCTTACCCGTCAGCATTGAAACAGTCTATCTTCTGTGTGGATCAACAAGTCTTGAAGTCCGTTTGCTTTGACATGATGGGTCAAACGTGTCTCTTGACCTTGTCCATGCCTTCGTCTAACTTCTGTGACAGGAAACGCGACGCGTGGCAGTTGAGTCTGAAGTTCGCAAAACGAGGAGCGCTGAGGTTGTCAAGGAGGGCATAAAGACTCGATGCTGACTCCACAGCAACAGGATGTCGCAGCGTGAAAACCAATGTCTGCATCTCGTCTTCGGATAGAGATGACAGCAGGCATGGAGGAGCTTTTGTATGAGGTAATGTCAGCTGGGAGACAGCTATTGAACTCGGATGATTTGATTTTCTCACCCAGTCCAGGGCAGTAATGTCGCCCGACCGAGCAATGATCTCCTGTAAGAGCCGACCGAGTGCAATTTGCTTCATCTCGCCGTAGACTACGGGTAGACTGACACCGAAGATACGAAACGAGTATGCAATGTCTTCCTGCGACGTCGCGACTCGCGTAGACGCTCATTGGAGTTTCTCTCGGGAGTTTCTGCCACGCACATGGCCTTACACGACTTATATTGGTAGAGTTGGCAGTAACATACAACAAACAACGGTATGTCAAATAATTGAAGGCTTACAAACAAATAATATAATTGACGATCATCAATGGGCTCCAGGTATTATTGCAGGTATAATTACATCTACGAGTGGGGTGATGTTAGTAGTGTCAAAAATTGCCAAGTGGAGCAGCTATGCTCACCAGCCATTGCCAGAATGCTTCCATCTTGTTTCTTGGTGGGGGTTCGTCGTATGAGTCCGCCACGATTTCAGCTAGATCGCTCGTGAAGTCCATGTCCTCTGCAGCAACGGGCTTGGTGCCATAGTAGAAGCGAGCGCCAACGTACAGGATCGGCCAGGTAATAAAAAGGATGTAGTTGGTGACGAAGGTTACAGTACTCCAATTTCCTTCGAGAAAGACGGTCCATCCGCTGAACTAGAGAGTATAGGAATAGTCAGTCTAAACAGTATCAGCGGATATGAAAAGTTAACATACAAAACAGATGGTGATCGTTGAAACGGTTGCCCACCACGCTGCGTATGGCTGGAGATTTGTGTAATAAGGGAGCGTCTTGCGGTCGATGCCTTGGACCTGCATGCCCTTGTAGAAGCGGAGATATGTCACCGAAATACCAAACCATGACATAAGGCCAGCGACGGCTGTCATGTTGGAAAACCAAACGAACACTGAACCCGCACTTGTTGACACAGCCATGAAGGCAAGAAGGGAAAAAGAGGAGCAGAAGAGGACAGCAACGTAAGGCAACCCGTTGCGTGTAGTTTTGAGGAAGAACTTCGGAGCATTTCTTGAGGCTGCAAGACCATCTACGAATTGCGTTAATTTCAATGAGTTGGCTGCCAGATAAGTATACGTACAAATCGCACGAGACGCAGTGTACAAGTCACTAGATGAGGCGGACCATGCCGAGGTCAACAAACAAGCATTGACAATCTGGTTCGAATAGCGATGAGAAATTTTGAGGTAAAAAAGGAAAGACATGTGCGGCCTACTGAAGGAAGATATTTAATTCCGGCCAATTCGATAGCGATGACGAATGGAGACCGGGCGGTGCTACTGGTCAATTTGAGTAATGGGTTGTTGGATGGTACAAGCAGACCAATGACGAGTGTGCCAGCGATGTAAAAAACCAATATACGGATATATACTCGACGGATGGCTTTGGGCAAGGTACGACGAGGATTCTTTGCTTCTCCAGCAGCAATCTAGGTGATATTAGTGATCAATAGATTAATAGGCCTAGAATACAACATACAGCAACAATCTCAGTTCCAATGAACGAGAAAGCGGCCTGCGTCAAAACAGCGCACCAGCCAAGGAATCGTCCTTTGGCACCTTCGATGCCATTATACTGAACGAATGGTCCGGGATTTTTCCAGTAGCGGAATCCAATACGGTCATGGGTTGGGCTACCTCCCAAATCGACGACTATACCGAGAATAATAAGACCGGTGATTGTGATGACCTTGATGGATCTGTAGTAATCTCAGAATACGAGATTGGGATATAGTACTCGGTACACACGCGAAGATGAATTCCGTCTCGCCGTAAGCGCCAGCACCGAGCATATTGATGGTGAGAACGACGACAAGACACATGGCAACCCATACTGAGTCATTGACAGTGTCATTCCAATAGTTTATCAATAATGCAGCAGCAGAAATTTCGGCTGGGACGATAACCAATGTCAGCGGACACGCTAAGAAGATGCATTAAACTTAAGTACTAGGTGCTAAAAAGTAAGAGGTCAGTAATTGCGAAAAAATGAACGAGGAAGAATGGAATGTACAGGTAATCATCCAGCTATAGCAGTAATTCCAACCCGTGGTAAAAGAGAATGCAGGGTCAACGAAGCGCTCGGCCAGTTTGATTTGACCACCAGGTATAGGCAGGAAAGCAATCTGCGGAAACGAAGATCAGGTATGTGATCTGCGCCTGGGACGTGCAGCAAGCATACCATTTCTCCCAAAGTGATCATGACGCAATAGACGATGGTGCCCATGAACATGTAGCCGAGCAACAGACCGACGGGGCCCCCATACATCAGAGAGTCTGCGGTTCCAACAAAAAGACCAGTGCCTATGACACCACCAATACTTGACAGAGGTGAGAATTCACCAGGAGAAAGAAGACAAGTCAACACACCTGATCATGGCGATGTGACGATTCTTGAGTTTACGTTGCAGGGGGGCCTGATTAGACTCTTCATCGTGGTCTGAGACATCAGAGAATTCGCCCTTGCCAGTGTGATAAGCAGTAGCATCTGTCTTTTCGGCACCCATTGTAGCAAGCACTCGCTCGTAGGAGGAAAGAGATAAGTCTTGAACTCAACCACGACCAATAGATATATGAGCATCTGGGGGGTTGTGGCAGTGACTTCCTTAAGTTGCAGACGTTGATAATTTCAAAGTTTCGCCACGTCTGATGCCTGATTAACGGATCGGAATTCGGCAGGTTAGGCCCGGGTATCGCATGGTTACAACGATGGCTTCATCGCCCCTCCTCCCTAAATCTGCTCAGGTAGACCTGAGAATTTTGCTGGAAGGGGTATGTCGTATACATAAAGGCGTCTACCCTTCCATACAGCTTCTATGATATTGTACAGCTGGCATCACATCTGAATGGAGTGATACAATTAACGACTATACTCATCAAAGAACCTTCGCCATTTTCAGGTACAACATCGTCTTCTGGTGCTGTTTATACAATGAGTCTATAGCATTTCAACATAGAGAGAGCCTACCGGTCGACTTCCTTAATTGCACGTATGTTATCACCGCCAGTAGTCCGGTTCAGTCCGGTTCTCTGGCAAAATTTCCGAACGCCAAACCGAACCGCAAGTTCAGGTTGGTCGAACTCTGGACTGAACGCGTTCGAGAGGTCAGTTTTGCATTCGAACAAAGTTCGACCACCAAAACTATAGGTTTGGTACCCAGCAAGAACCCGTACTTGCTCTGACACTTTTTTGGCGGGTATCTCAAGCCTGAGTAGCAATTAATAGAAAAGCGAACGAATACGTACAAACGTCAACGAGTGTGAACATTAACATCAAATAGGACCAACATTGCCAAGAACAAGTGGCGACCAGCACGGGCAAGTACAAATATAGTCGCAGACAAATGCAGATGCAGTGGGGGTATGTGCTGACGTGCACAGATAAGCGGGCGCAGAGACTAGCTAGTTGAAGACAAGTTGAAGTGCCATTGCAACATGCTGACGTGGCGGGCGTTGATGTAAGTGCTGTGTACTGAGTAAAAATTACACATACGACAGCATGTACAAACGAGCAATTGCGACAAGCGCAGACAATGTTTTGAACATAGTATGTCGAGAAACAAGTGTTGTAGATACATAAATCATATTTACTAAATCGGGGCATCGTGAAAATGCTGCGCCACTGCTGCGGCAACTGCCGCGACCACTGCTGCGCTGCTCCCAAATAGTTACTAAGTGAGTGCGCAATGCGCATCATGATTCATTACAGATTACACTTACTGCTAGTCACTGGAACCTCCCAATCCTTGTCCTCCAAACGAACCATGGAGTCGAGCGTGCGCCCACTCCTTATTATTATAATCACGCTAACAAAGTCACGGTCAGACGGTATCATCACAAGTACTTCTGGTCTGCAAGTCAGGTCTCCCATATATCGTTTCAACGACTATCTTCCTTGTCGCCAAACAATCTTTCATATTGCATTGTAGTCTAATTCCTGCGTATACAATGCTATTTTTCTTTCTTCTAAGCGAGTGACTGCGCAGTCGCGGGCATTATCTCAAGACGTCCGTGACAAATCAGTGCATAATCATATGTCAGTCAAATGTCAATAGCCAATATTCAATTCCAAATGAGGTCGATTTTCACCGTTATCGATGGCTTGAGCATTGAATCTGCATCGTCTCGTGTCACTCAGTGTTTCCCTCATCCTCAACTTGAAAGATTATGAACTAGTACTAGAGTCAACTATTGGTAGGATACGTCGTCATCAATTTTAATATACCGTCAAGCTCACTACCCCCTTCAGCTCGTGATCTGCCCAGGCTCAGTGGTGCACATGCCAATCGACATCAGTAAACCCCAATTTTCTCCACAGACATCGACATTTCCCACAGTTTCCCACAGCGCCCCACAGCGGCACAGAGCTCACAGTAAATTTCTCCACAGACATCAACATTTTCGACAGTAACCCACAGCGGGACAGAGCTCACAGTAAATTTCTCCCAGCATCGACATTTTTTGATAGTTCCCCACAGTAACCTACAGAGGGACAGAGCTCACAGGATGTACAGCTGCTACAGTGTTTGTCAGTAAATACTACCATTTCTCGAGCGCTACTACTACTATATAGTTCGGGCTATAATTAGAATACATTTTGAAGCACAATTTGAAGCACACTGGCATCTGCCAAGGTCAAGACAAAACAAAATCTCATGTCCGAATCATATTTTACTACTACTAGATACTAGTACTGCCAAATACAAGGTTTCTATTTGATACAACTCAAAAGAAGGTACTTGTCATTAGTCCAACTGGATGGTGACCTGATGGCAGGATGTGAATGAGTCTATAATACGAAGGTGTTAGTTGGTAGTACTATAAATGATAGGTGTACTTACTGTGAAGATTGTGTGGCACTGGGTGGTGAGAAAGACCGTATTTTCTTGAATGTGACGTGCATATGACCTAGTCCTACATCCGCCTTGTCAAGCTTCCGCTTAGAAATGGCGGACTTGTATTTCAAAAGATTCGTCATGACCTTGTATTCTCGGGACGACGCAATCGGCAAGTGTTTTCTCTGCATTGAATATATCCCGTCGGGCCCTTGCGAGGTCCATGATGAGGTTAGCTTCAAGTTCATCAACATCGTTGATGGTCTGTGGGCACGTGAATCAAATATTGCCTAGTAAGATATCAGTCACTTACCATCGAGCCAATAGCATCGACTACATCGTACAAATCTGCGATACCACTGCCAGAGTCACCCAGAACATGGCTGGCTTGCCACTTATTGGTATGTCGAGGGCGCATACGTGACGCTGATGGTACATCACTAGAGATATTTAAATGGATTGGTGCGTGGCTCGACTCGGACATGAGGGTTAGAAAAACTAAGATGTTCGGATTCCGGAATCAATATCATTACAGTTCAACTTCTCAGAATTCTCACGTGCACGCTATTATGTCGTCATTCCAGTGTCCTTTGTGCGGCAAGGGCGGTTTCAAGAACGACGTCGCTGTTGCTCGTCACATGAGCCAACCTCGCTCTGGGTGCAGTATGTGGCTGCAGGATTTGATATGCTTGCGCTCCGAGTCTGATTCCTGTATGGACTCGGATGACGAACCGAATATTTCCATGGATATGGACGATGCCAGTGAAACCGAATATGCCCGACATCGAGTCTGGTGGTTTGGGGGATTGGGATGAGATGTCTCGAGGGAGTACTAGTGGTAGTGAGAGCCAGGAAATGCCAACTCACAACTTGGAAGTTATTGACTCGTATCCTGACTGTGCTCAATCATATGGCAAGGGCTACACGTTCCTCGATCTATTCAATTCTGACAATAACAGCAAACACCGTGCAACGAATCCGTATTACCCATTCAGCGGCCAGAAAGACTGGGAAGTTGGGTCATGGCTCCTTTGCTCAGGATTGAGCATGGGGGAAGATAGACAATTTTCTTTCGCTCGAGATGGTGAGTAACAAATTCTTTGATAATATTTACATTTTTCTTAAGTGGTTCAGATAAAGACCCTTCCATTGTCGTTCCGTTCTGCCAAGGAACTCCGTAGTAGAGCGGAAATGTTGCCCAGCGGTCCGCGCTGGATGTCTCAGGTCATACCTACAAGATATCCTATGAAATAGCCCGTTGTGTTGTATTGGCGCGATCCTTTGGATTGTATTTCAAGCCTTCTCAACCATCCTGCCTTTCATGATCAGCTCGACTTTACGCCTCGCAGGGTGTACACCACTGCACAGAGGTTGTGTCGCGTGTATTCGGAATGGATGACTGGTGATGACGCATGGAATATGCAGGTACGCATAGTTTCATTTGTGCGAGTCGTACTTATCAGTTTTCGGACAGTCAGCCCTACCAAGAGGTGCAACACTCCTTGGGACCATATTATCGTCTGACAAGACAATATATCGACCATGACGGGCGACAGAGTTGCACATCCCCTTCTCGTTAGCCTTGCTAATATTTGCATGTCCACCCGACTAAAATCATCCTCGAATGCCTTTGTCCTTACTGCTCTACTCCCTGTCCCGAAATTCAACTACAAGAAAGAAACGCATGAGAGGTGTTACTTGAGGATCGCCTCATTCATGAGTGCTTGGATATAGTTCTATGTCCACTTAAGGTAGCCGCCCCGCGAAGGGGTCATGCTGTCAGATCCTGTCAGACACAGTTGCTACTGTTTTACACCACTCACGAGCTATATTGTCGACACCCCGGAGGCCATGATGCTGGCTGCCGTTGGCGGGAAAACCTCTCCGGTCACTATGGCCATGTACAAACAATTTGGAGACCCTTTCCGTCATGAACCTCGTACACGAGCAAACTACACTCTCCCAGCTTGCCAGCGCACGGAGTAAAGTTGATCCCGATGACATTGAGGCATTTTTTCGTGAGGCACAGAAGTTTCGTCTGAATGGCGTCAACACAACCGTTCTGGCTGGATTGGCTCCTCAGTGATCCATCCCACTTTCTCACTCCCGAATTTCTTCACCTCATCCATCGCGAGTTCTACGACCCACGATGCAAAGTGGCTCATTTGCGCAGTTGGTGATACAGAGATCGATTTTTGGTTCTCTGTGTTGCAGGCCATCACTGGGTTCCGTCATTTCATGGCGGGATTTCAAAACTTAAACAGGTTACAGGACGCGCTCAACGCGACATCCAGCGCTCAATTGTCGCGGTCAGTGCAGACGCAGTACCTAGCACCATGATGACTGCCGTACGAGCTCTCATGGACTTTCGGTACCTTGTACAGTCACCCGTAATCAACGACACTCAACTCACCCGTATTTCCACGGCCCTTGAAGAATTTCACGCCAACAAAGATGCAATTATAGACGGAGGATTTCGTCGTGGTCAGCACGATGGAGTCATTGAGAACTGGTACATACCGAAGCTAGAACTCATGCAGTCCATAGTTCCGAGCATAAGGAACACTGGAGTTCCTCTGCAATGGACCGCCGACACCCACCGAGCATGCGCACATAACGGAAATCAAGGATCCTGCTCGCTCGAAACAATAACAAGAATTACGATCCCCAGATATGTTGCCACCTTGACCGTACCGATAAATGCCGCCGCTTTGACCTCGCTATGAGTCTGCTCAACAAATGACAGACTCGAAGTGGCAGGGTTCAGATGACGTTGGTGATGTCAACGACAATGTTGATCTCAATGCAGACAACGATCATGACGATGGCAATGTCGACACTGTTTATTTTGATGCAGACAATGATTATGATATCTCAGACCTTCTGGCGACGATCAAATACCCTGGGCATTCGCGTCCGACCACTAATTACTATGAAATTGCCAAGGTCCTTCAGCACAGGGAAGTGGGAACGGTCCCTGTGCCATTGCGCTCATTCGTTATCGAAACACACAGCGTTCCACCTCACCTATGACCCATCCATCAGAAATATATCTGTTGACGATGCTGCCATTAAGTTTGGCCTTCCTGACTTACGACCAGCCATTGCCGACTTTCTTCATCGTGAGGCTACTCACGGGAGGGATCATGTCCATACTATTGGGGGGGCTAGAAGAGCTGGACCCACCACTCCACTTCCCTTCGACAAACTACAAGTCTGGTTTAAGCTTCGGCTCCAGGACACTGATTTCCACGATATTAGCATCATACGGCCTGCACAGACCCTCAACTGCGCACCCCCTTCTGATCCCCGGACCTCTGGCCGGTATGATATGGCCACCATCAACAACGAGGCGAGATGTGTATGGCCCACAGATGGTCTTCACGGTATGTTATTCTTACATTGTACTGAATATTTACTTATTGTCAAGTCGAGGTCATACTATTGGTCAGATCAGGCTTCTCATGCGTCCTGTTGGAAAGAGTGGCACAAATTGGTCATGGAAGGACCGCTTTCTGGTATATGTACATCGCTTTGACATTGTTCCCCAAAGCTCCGGTACCAATGATCGTGAGCCAAGTACGCAGCTCCACTTGCTCAAACGAGCGAAGCATTCAAATGGTACTCAGGTGGGTGACATCATACCTGTAACAGCTCAGAGACTTGTCACCTCGTCCCTCGCTTCGGTGCAAGTGCGGACAACCGCCTCACCCCATATAATGCATGGAACATGCTTCGCAGTTTTTGGCTCAACAAGTATTGGGATAAGAATATATATTTTCCTCTTTCCATGTA